TCTTGCCACGTGGGTTCCAGGCCACCGGGATGATGCGAATGTAGCGTGCAAGGATGGGGTAGTGCAGGTCRTGCCGCACCACCCCGCTCTCATTCACGTTCCCAAAGAAAGTCTGGGGGTGAAGGGTCACTGTCAACACCTTGCTCCAGGCCAGGGGTCTCTACTCCCCTCCCTCACAGGGAACGCCGGGATCCCCCCTACCCAGTTGCTGCCCTGCTGGAAGAAGGGTTTCCAGCTCGTAGGGTGGTCTCCGTAGAGCACAATGTAGCGTGTGAGCCAGTCGTAGGTGTTGAAGGTTCCCTGCGTGGCCACCGCGTTGATCCGGTGCTTTTGCATCAGGTCGATCTGCAGCCAGGGCTGCTTGTCCCGGGGGTCGGGGGACCAGCCGCTGGTGCCTGCGGAGGGAGCGGCTCAGCTGGCTCCACAGCCCTACACCCATCGCTGAGCTGCACACTGAGCTTGCTCAGCTCCACCACGGCAGCTGACTGGACCCCTCGGCCCCACCAGAGGTGAAACCTGGCCGGGAACACTCCCTGGCCACGTCCCCTGCCCCGCCTGCACCCCGGTTCCGCGGGGGGACTCACTGTGCAGACGGGCGAAGCTGGCCGAGTAGAGGATGTTGTATCTGGAGGAGGCACCGATGGAGTAGGAGTAAAGGGGAGCAACGAGCTCATCGTAGCAGGGTCCTGCGGGGAGAATGGGGCTGGGGGCGCGCTCGGGGCACGGAACTGGGCAGTGTCCCTGTGGGAGCTCGCCCGTCCCAGCCCTGCGGACCCTGAGCGCTCTGGAGACCCCGCGGAGGGGCCGGCGGAGCTCCGGGATCGCTCTGCTCTCCCCTCCCACTGCAGCGGAGCTGACACACCTCTGCGGGCCCCGGCGCCGGCACCAGCCGCCTCCGCACTGACGGGGGCGACGGGACCCCCGCTCTGCGCCGCCCCGCCGGGGAACCATACCCCGTGGGAGACCGGGGGATCCCGGGCAAACCCTCGCGGYACCGGCAAAAGAACCTTCGGAGGGGCGGGGGTCCCGAACCCCTCGCAGGGTCCCCTAGCGGGTCGGACGGAGTTCGGGGAATCYAGGAGCATCCCCAGCTCTCACTGCAGGAACCACGCTGCATCACCCCCCAGTCCCCAGCCCCCCGATTCTGCCGCTCCCTGTCCCACCGACCCCCGCCTCGATTTCCCTTTGCCCCGGCGCTGGGGAAGGGGCTCCGGGCGCCGGCTCAGGGGGCCGCGGGGAACGGACCGGTGCAACCAGGGCCTCGCCGAGCCCCGTTCCCGAGTGCCCCGGTACCGGGGTGCCCCAGGAGCGGGTCGGGCCCGGTGCAGCCCCGCGGCGGGGCCAGCCCGGCGGGTGGCGGCGCTGGCCGAGGTTCTGGAGGAGCCCGGCCGGTCCCTCGGGGCGCTCCCGCTCGCCTCGGCATTCCCGGGCATCCCGGATCCTCGGGGCGTCCCAGTTCTCCCCGGTCCCCCGAGGCTGCGGCCGGGCGCGGGGCCGTGCCGGCGGGGAGGCTGCGGCGGGGCCGCCCCGGGCGGGGCGCGGTCGGGGGGAGAGCCCGGACGGCCGTGTCCGGCGGTGACCTTGGGAATGATGCGAACAGGAGTAGCGGAGAACACCCAGGGATGCCGGAGAATGCCGTGGGATGCCGTGGGGAGGAGAGGTGGGGGATGCCCGAGAGACCGGAGGGTGCGGGAGCTCTGCTCGGGGATGCGGGGCCGGGGCGGCGGGCGCGGTCCCGCAGTGCGGAGCGGCCGCTCCCGGGACTGCGGCCCCACTTACGTGCGAGGCAGCCGGGGCCGGGGCTCAGGAAGCCGGCGCAGGCGGCGAGCAGGAGCCCGAGGAGGCGGCGGGCGCCCATGCTGAGCGCCCCGAGCGCCCTCGGCGCCGCCGCTCCCGGTGCTGCAGCCGCGCGGCGGAGCGGGGCCGGCGGCTCCGCCCACGGGGCGGGGGGGAAACCGGGGCCGGACCGGGCGCGGCGCAGAGCCACGGCCACCCCCCGCCGCACCCGCCGCCTCGCCCCCCGGAGATGCTCGGGCCGGGCGCCCCGTTCCCCCAGCCRGGAGAGGCACGGCGAGTTTTCCGCCAGCCCGGGCTGCACCGGGACACGGCTCTTGGGGTGGGGGTCCGGGGGCAGAGTGAGGCCGCTCAGGAGCCCCCCGGGCATCCCCAGCCCGTTCCTATGCGGCGTCTGGTCCTCGCCGAATCCCAAGCCTCYGCAGGGAGGGTCGGAGCGGTGCCCGCGGCCCCCCCGCAGCAGATGTGGCGRTGGTTTGTAATCAAGCCGTGGATTAAGGCCCGCAGGTCTCGGGGTCGCTGCTCTCTCCAGTGGTGCAGAAGAAGGGATTTAGCTTGTATCTGCTTCCAGCCACCCGCAGACGCCCACGGAGGGGCTGGGGGGGCTGGCGGCTGAGTGCCCTACATACACCTGCAGCCCCGGGGTGCCCGGTGTGCCCTGGTCCTGCAGGAGCCCCGAACAGTCCCGAGAGACAGAAATGCCCYGGCAGCGCAGAACAGGAGCCCAGCCCGGTGCAGGCGGCTCCACACCGGTGGCTCCAGAGCTGGCAGCGTGTGCCAGGCCGGGCTGCCGCGGGCAGGGCAGCGCAGCCGTCAGCTGCGAGCAGCCGSGGCTCAGCCTCCTCCCCGCCCCGGCAGAGCCCTGGCCGGGACTGGGAAGTGAAAGCGCGAACAGAAAGCTCCAGGTGTGGCAGGGATGTGGCACATCCAGCAAAGCACCAGGAGTTGTGCTCCCAGGAGCTGGAACCGTGTGCTGAGGACATTGACGCCCATCCTCCTGTCCCCCAGATGCTGGCAGTGCCTGCTGGTCCGTCCCCAGGAGAGGCACAGCTCACCTGGCCTTATCCTTACACCCCAAGGTGCTGCCTGCTCCGGCCACAGCCCCCCGTCCTGACCCTGTGCTGCGTCAGGTCTGTGACTGCCCCAGTGGGGACATGCAGGGTCCCARTTCTGCACCCACAGCTGGCTGTAGGGCCAGCACTGGGCTCAGGACCCTCCTCCCTCCCCTTCCCCCAGGGTGCAGGGTGCAAGGAGCCACCCCCAGAGCCAGCACAGGGCAGAGATCTGCAGGTGGCATCCCTGCACTGCAGAAACAGCAGGAGAGGGGGAAGAGACCCTCCAGCAAAGAGCCCTGGGGATCCCTGGAAGCTGGGGCATCTGTCCCGCTGCTCTTCATCCAGGGTGCAGCGGCTCCACAGCCCCACACCGAGCACCCTGGATCCCGTACCCGTCTGGAGGCAGCAGGAGGGCCGAGGGCAGAGCTGGGATAAGCCACGGCAAAGACGGCTGTAGCCAGGAGAAAGGGGGATTGAGGGATTATGGCCAGGAGCTCATTGAAGCTGGGGATCAATTGTCTCCCCCCTGGGGAGAGGAAAGTGGGGCTTCTGCCCCAGAGGAACGAATCTGCTTCTTAACGAGGAGCGGGGAATTTTGTTGTCAACAACCAGCAAAGCGCCTGCCCAGCACTGTGGGGATCCCTCARTGAGGGGTGTGCCCTGCACCAGCAGCCACCCCAGCTTCTGGGACCACCGTGTTTGCCATCAGGAGAACATGATTCTAGACCAGACAGGGTTCTGCTGATCCTGCTGGAGGAGCATCTTGCCTGTGCCCAGCTCAGTGCCAGCCCACAGCAGCACCCACTCCATTCCCTGGCTCCTGCAGGAGCCAGGGGTGGGTTAGGGTTTTCTGCGTGTGCTGGGTGCCCTCAGACAGACCCTGCTCCCCTGGCTGGGTGCTCCCAGGTTTGGCTTGCACACTCATGTGACAGAGACTGAGCAGAGCTGCTATTTCTGTCCCCAGCACWCAGGTTTAAATAAAAGATTCAGGACAGGCTCCGAAGTGGGGTCACATCTGTCATCTCGCTTCCCCCCCAGGGCTGGGCCTGTGTTTTGCACTGTTCTCAGTATCAGGAGCAGCACGTGGTCAAACCACAGGTTATACAGAGCACTGAGCCACCAACAGCTTCAGACCCACGGCCAGGGGAAAGGTCCTGCTGCACAATGATGGAGAAGGTGAGGGGGCTGCAGGGTGAGGGGTGTGCTGGGAGCCAGGCAGGACTCCCCAYCACTGGGCTTTCTTAGTTTTTTAGGTAGCTTCCTTATGAGCCCTGTGGGTTTGGGCTGAAAGGAAAAACCCTGGGAAATCAGGGCAGTGTCTGGGGCTCAGAGCAGGAAAGGGGTTACAGGAGCTGCTGGAGAGTCAACCTGTCCTATGACAGGGTTCAGATTCCACCTGTGGCCCCAGAGCAGCTGGGGGACTCAGGCCCGGCTGCCTGRGCTTGCTGACAGCAGCCAGAGTGAAATTGCTGTTGGGAAGCTACTCTGAGTCAGAGCAATGCCAGATGCTGATCTCCAGGGCAGTGGGGTTCCAACTGACCAATACCAGGCTGCAGCACTGTCCTGCTGCTCCAGAGCAGGGCTGAGCACCTGGGAGCTGGGAGCACTCTGCTCAGCTTCCTGCAACCCGTGTGAGGCAGCAGGATGTCCCAGGACCTCCCGTCTGGGAGCAGGACCAGGCAGTGCAAGGCTGTGCTCACACTGGGGTCCCCAGGGCAGTGCATGGGTGGGTGAGTGCTGTGGGCTCCTGGGGATGTTGGTGTGGAGCCCCAAAGCTCGACTGCCCGGCGTGGCTGGGGCCATAGGCTGGGTGCTGAGCCCAGCGGACACCAGAGCAGCTGCCCGGACAGGTGCGGGGTCACTTTGTGGGACACGGTGCAGCGCTGGGGACACCGTGGCTGGGGCCATGTCCCTCCATCAGCTCTGCACTGCAGGCGGCTGCTCGGGAAGCGTGCGGTCGCTCTTGCAATGACTGAGCACGGGGAACGTCCCGCTGCTGCGGGAAGGGTGTGAGACGGAAACAGCCCCGCACGTGGGGCCGGGGACCGGCGGCTGCCGCACACCGGGGCTCCCAGCGGCGGGGCTGGGTGGAGAAGGGCTGGGTGTGGTTCTGCACCGCTGCCGAGCCCTCCTCACCCATCTTCCCCCTGAGCAGGTGACGCCCAGCCCCGACCCCACAGAGCTGATGGCCACCACTGACTTCTACTCCTGGGAGGACGGGTATTCGGGCGAGTCCGGCTTGCTGCCCGAGCTCTGTGAGAAGCAGGCAATACAGGGCTTCGCCCGCACCTTCCAGCCTGCCTTCTACCTGCTGCTCTCGCTGCTGGGCACGGTGGGAAACGGGCTGGTGCTGCTCACACACATCCGCTACCGCCAGGCACACAGCATCACCGACGTCTGCCTCCTGCACCTCGCCGTGTCCGACCTCCTGCTGCTCCTGACGCTGCCCTTCGCCATCACCGACACTCTGCAGGGCTGGTCCCGGGACACAGCCGCCTGCAGGGCACTGCAGGGCTTCTACGCCCTCAACTTCTACAGCGGCTTCTTCTTCCTCRCCTGCATCAGCGTGGATCGCTACGTGGCCATCGTGCGGGTGACCGTTGCCTGCCGCCTGCGCCCGCGGGCTCGCCGCCACGGCTGGCTGACGGCGGGGCTGGCCTGGCTGCTGGCCACGCTGCTAGCCCTGCCCCAGTTCATCTACAGCCAGGCGGAGCAGCACCAGGATCTCCGCATCTGCCGCGTAGTTTTCCCCCGGGGGGTCTCACGGGCAGCGCGGGGAGCCACCAACCTGGTGCAGGTGGTGTTCGGCTTCGTGGTGCCCTTCCTGGTGATGGCCAGCTGCTACGCGGCTGTGGCGAGGACGCTGCTGGCATCCCGCGGTGCCCAGCCCCAGCGGGCGCTGCGAGTTCTGCTGGCCCTGGTGGTGGCGTTTGTGGTCCTGCAGCTGCCCCACAGCCTGATGGTGGTGCTGGACGCGGCCGAGCTGCTGACCGTCTGGGAGATGAGCTGTGCCGAGAGCCGCCGCAAGGATTTGGCGCTGCTGGTCACCGGCGGGCTGGCGTACCTGCGCTGCTGCCTCAACCCGCTGCTCTACGCCTTCCTCGGGCAGCGCTTCCGCCGGGAGCTGTGGCTGCTGGCCAGCGAYGCCGGCTGCGTGGGCTGCCTGGAGCCGCGCTGCCTCGGCTGCCGCACTCCCCGCCGCCGGACATCGCTCTCCACTTCCCTGGTCGTCGTGGAGTAGGAGCACGGTGACCAGCGCCCTGGGGTTCGGCCCCTCTGCGGCTCCCCGGGGACAGCCCCGTCCGTGCAGGGAGCTGCCACAGTGAGCAAGCAGCAGACAATCCGCCTGCACACGCGTGGGCAGAGCGAAGAGCAGCCCCGCAGCGCTTGTGTGCCCTGCGAGTGCCTTCACTGCCCGGCGACACGCCGCGCTGGGGTCCCCGCAGTGTCACGCGTGTTTCGGGGGGGGATATGCAATGCTAAACGTGCTCTGGGGGTCCGTACGGTGCAGCTGAGCCGGGTCGGTGGCTGCWACAGCTGGTTCCTTCTCTCACAATAAACCCCGAACGAGTCCCTGTGGGACTGAGCGCAGTTTCTGTCCGGGGCGGTGCTGCCCCGGGGGGGTTTGTGGGGTTGGGGGCGGTTCCGTGGCCACCGGCACTGGCGGGCGATGCCTGCAGGAGGCAGCAGAACCTCGCGTTTCCTGGCCGCTCTCTGCTCGTCCCAGCGGCTGGAAGGACAGGGAGCCCCGGTCTGGGGACAGCAGAGATCGCCGGAAAATCCCTCCTTTGGCCCTGCCCCTGCGGGCGGGGGCAGAGGGACGTTTCTCTCCCCTCCTTCCTTCCCCCATGAGCTCCTCTGCCTGGCGCATCCCGGCCCGGAGGCTCCCCGGCAGTGGGGTGCTGGGCAGGGGCCGGCCCGGACACGTGGCGACCAACACATGACCACGGGCTGGGACATGGCGAGTGACACATGTCCCGCGGGCTGGCACAATGTGCCATGGGCCGGCAGCGCCGGGGCCGTGCGGTCCCACTCGCCAGGGCTGGSTAAAGAAGCGCTCCAGAGCGCCGAGAGCAGCGCAGGGCTTGGCTCTGGTGCAGCTGCTCGTGGAGTCTCCAAGTGCGGCAGAGAAACACCTCCCGGTCCTGCGGGGGCTGGAGGCTCCTTCCTGTTCACCCCCTGCTCTGCCTGGGATTAGCCCAGGGCTCGACTGGAAGAAGCCATTCCAGAAGCTTCACCTACGGCTGGGCCAGAAACAGGTTAYTGCTGACTCAGCAGCCACAAGGCGGGGTGATGGGCCTCCGTCCCCCGCAGCCCTCGGTGGGGATCACGGGCCAGATTCGAGCAGTTCTTGTCCAGACAGCACAGCTGTCCCCGGTGCCCACCCAGCCTTGGGTGGTCTTGCTTCTGGGCAGTGAGTACTGCCCCCACTTCTGGTGGGCTCTGCTCGATGGCCGTGAGTGCCCTGGCCGCACAGCCGGCCCCACGCCGGGTCAGCCCCAGGCACAATCCGGCACATGCTGCGTGGGAGAGGAACTGGCAGCCGGCGCTTCCTGCCTGCGCATCCCGGCACCCAGAGACGGCCATGACCCAGCGGCTGTGGCAAAGCCAGAGCCTGAACTCCGGGGGCTTCAGGTATGGGACCAGGGCACCACGGCTCGAGGGTGCCACAGAGCCCAGGCTGAGCTGAACCACAGAGCAGCGGCATCGGGTGTGACCCCACCATGAACGCCTTCTGCCAGCTCCTTTGTTGAAAGGCGCTGTGAGGGCCTGCAGGACAGGCCTGCCCGGCCATGGTGTCCTCTGCCCTCCTGCCCGGCCAGGGTGCTCTCCTGCCCGTGGTGTCCTCCTGCCCGCGGAGCCCTCCTGCCCGTGGTGTCCTCCTGCACAGGGTGCCCTCCTGCCCGCGGTGTCCCCCTGCCCGTGGTGTCCTCCTGCACAGGGTGCCCTCCTGCCCGCGGTGTCCTCCTGCCCGGCCAGGGTGTCCCCCTGCCCGCGGTGCCCTCCTGCCCAAGCGCAGAGCCCACGGTGCAGCCCGCTGGCACACTCCTGGCACCACACCGGGCTGAGTCGCCATCCCGGGACGGGCGCCAGTGCTGGCGTACGCAGGAACCAGGGCAGCACATGATGCGGGTGCCGCGGGGCAGGGCAGGGACCCGTACCCGGTGCCGGTGCCCACACCGGGTGCGGGCAGYGCTCAGTGACAGAGCCCCGTCAGGTACCGGGGGTGCCCGCAGCGCCCCGCCGGCGGCGGCTCCGTGAGCACCGGCCCTAACACCGCCCGGCTCCGCGCTGCCCCCGCCCCGTAGCTGACGCAGCGGCGGCCCCGCCGCCCCGGGCAGCGGCTCCGCCCCGGGCCGAGCGCGGCGATTGGCGGCGGCCGGTGACGCGCAGCCCGGCCCGCCCGGGGCGGCGGCGGGGCCGGCRGCCGGTGCGCGGGGCGGGCGGGCGGCGGGCCGGTCCCGTCGCGTCCCGGTGCCGTCCCGTCGGTGCCGGCGGGGCGATGCCGTTCCCGGGCGGGCTGTGGTGGCTGCTGTGCTGTCGGCGGGGCTTCACGCTGCTGCGGCGGGACTACGGCGAGGCGGAGCGGGAGGCGGACGGCGAGGCCGAAGAGGAGGAGGAGGCGTCCTTCGAGCTCCGYGCCCAGGGAGACCAGGTGGGGCCGGCACCGGCTCTGGCATGGCCACCGGGACGAGCACCGGCGCCGCCGCCCGGGTGGTCCCGCAGGGCGCWGGGGTGGGTGGTTCGGGCGGGTGCGGGCGAGCCGCAGCCCGGGGAAGGCTCCCGGGTCCCGGGCCCGCGGGGAGGGATCGGCCGTCGCGGGAGTTGCTGCCGGCCGGGTGCAGCCGGAGCTGGGCGCTGCCCGCTCCTTCGGACAGGGCCCGCGGGGTTCCCGTGCCCGACCCCCACCGGACCTGCCCCGGTGCGCGGAGCGGCCCCGGAGTGCCCCGSCGGAGCGGGCCGGGGCTGAACCGGGAGCACGTGCCGGGCGCCGAGAGCGGGCCTGGATCTGCCCCGCTCCGGCTGCTTCCTCTCTGCGGGGAAACGGAGCGGCGGAAACCGGTGCTTCCTCCGGCCGGGCTGCGTGTGCGACGGCTGATAGCACGGGGTGCGGGGGGAACCGGGGGGAACCGGGGGAACCCGGACTCGCGGAACGCAGTGGATGGTGACAGCCTGGTCCTGCTTGCTGTGACCCCTCTCCCCTGGCCACCGCGGGGGCTGCAGCACGGCCCTGGCTGCACGGRGCTGGGGGCGACCCTGAGCCCCCGACTCTGTCGGTCCCATAGCAGCAGGTCCCGTTTCCCAGTACTGCCAGCCCCATGGGACGTGGGGACAGTGACAGGGCTGGAGCTGGGCCCTCTGGGAACTGGTGGCAGTGCCAAGGGCACGGCTGTGTCAGGAACCGTCTTTGGGCTTCCCGCATCCCATGGGCCACACTGGCTCCGGGCTGGCGTGGGTGGYTGGTGACGCCAGCTCCCCTGAGAGCCCTTTGCTGTGGCCAGGGGGTCCTTGGAAGCCCGCAGTGCCTTTGTGGGAGCGTGGGAGCAGCTCCCCTGGCCCTGCCGCCGCAGCTCCTCTGCTGTTTATTTATATCCCTGAGAAGGAGCCGGCGGCCACCGCTGCCTCCTCTGGACTGCCCACGAGAAACTGGGCACTGCCCCCATGCCGGCAGTGAGACGGTGTCTGGAGGTGTTGGCCCCGTGCACGGCTACAAGCAGTATGTGACAGGTGGCCTTAATGCCACAGGTCAGCGGTGCACAGCCCTGCCCYGCAGCACAACCATACCTGCGGCGGCTCCCCCCTCCCCGGCACTATTTTTAGCATCTGTCTCTTTTTCTTGGCGTTGCGTGCTCCGGCCTGTCGTGCCTCTGGCTGCCCCGTTGGGCTGCAGCTGGCAGGAGCTCCCGTGCATCTCCCAGGACGGCGCTGCCGGTGCTTCCACGTCCCCGCACCCCACTCTGCCGGGCGCCCTGCCCGTCCCGGTGCCTGCCTGTGCCTGGGCTCTGCCTCGTGTCCCGGCGTGTGTGCCAGGCTCATCACGTGAGGGGCCCTGTCCATGTCAACTTGTGCTGCGTGAGGAGGAACTGACCCGCTCCTGCTGCAGGGCCAGGGACTTCCCAGCGCTGCGTCCCACCGCCGCGGGCAGGAAGTCAGCGGCCCCATTACAATGGGACTTTGTGCCGTAAGCGTATTACTCAGCACTGACCTTGTGCAATTCTGCACGGTATTCAGCCAGCCGGGTCAGCTGAGGACACACGGCCAGCGCGCCCGCCGGCTGCCCCCGCTCCCGGGCTGCCCCAGCTGCAGCCCTGGCTCCAGCCTTGGCCTTGGGGGCTCTTCTGCCCCATGGCAGCAGRATGGGAGCCTGTCTTTCTGGGCCCAAAGCTGGGTTGATGAGGAGGAGGCATGCAGTCATGGGGGTGATGGTCAGTGCTGCCAGCTAATGCCCGTGGGGCTGAGACRTCTCTTTCCTGCCCAGGGATCCCTGGAGGTGAGCCTGAGCCAGCCCACCCGCAGCAGCAGTGGCTCAGAGAGGTGAGTGATCCCCTGCCTCTCGTCTGCGTTGTGTCCTGTGCGTGGTGCTGGGGGACTGGCATGTCCCACCGTCCATGGGAGGGTGTCCTGGTGCTGGTGGGCACCGAACCATCCTGCCCACAGAACCAGCACCAGGCTGTGCTGCCCTGCCGGGGAGAGCAGGGAGTGGCAGAGGCGGGACTGCCGCGCTTGTCCCTGTCCCTGGCGCATCCTCAGGCATGTCTCCATCCCTSTGCCGTGCCGGAGGGTTTGACTGCCTCAGGCTCAGCCAGTGGGGCTGTGCATGACTCCTCCTGTGCCAGGAGGCAGTGCCAGGCTGTGTCCATCAGCAGAGGCTGTGCCCTGGGGTGGTCGGTGCAGAGGAAGATGGGGTGCTGAGGMGCAGGGGCCTGCTCGCTCCCTGTACTCGCAGTACTGACGCTGCTGCCAACATTCCTTCCTGGTTGTTCATTTTCCGAATTCCTTGGCAGGGCCAAGACTGCAAACAGCTTATTTTTAGCCGGGGTCATTTGCACCCAATGCCTCTGCTGTGTTCCCACCACAGGGCTGTGGGGTGCCCTGAGCCCCTTGGGACCCGGCTCACCCCAACCCCCAGACCAGCTCCCTGCTCAAGGGCTGTGGGAGACASCCATGGGCACCCAAGCTCAGCCCCACGTTGTCCTCAGGTCCCTGCTTGTTGCGGAGGAGATGCGCAGCCTCATCGTGGAGAAGGGCCCAGGGCCRGTGGAGGATGACCCCGACGCTCTGGTGAAAGGTGGGATTGTGCCCCAGAGGGATGGGCAGCCCTGGGCACACCCTTCCCTGTGCCGAGCAGCCGGTGGGGTGGATGGTGCCGTCAGCAGGGGCTGAGTTTTCCCCTTCCCAGGCTGGCTGCAGCGGGAGATGCGGGGCTGCATGAAGACCCCCTGGATCCGTCCTCGGAAGTACTGGTTTGTGCTGACACCGGACTCTCTGGACTACTACAGCAGCAATGAAAAAGGGGCCAGGAGGCTGGGCTCCCTGGTGCTSACCAGCCTCTGCTCCGTGCTCTGGC